GAATAAAAGAGGAAGAACATTGATGTCAAACAAATAGACATCCTCATTCACCTTCATTCTTTTTGTGAAATTTACATCTTTTAGTCTAAAAACTATGTGTTGTGGTCTTTCTTTTATGTATTATGTCTGGAGCATCTGGTTTAAATGACCAGCAGTAATCAGCCATCATGCTCATGTTCCACCTTCCCTGATGCCTCCTCTCCATTTCCCTGATGTCTTGATGAAAACTTTTGCCTTGTTCTTCACTGACTGCATCAAGATTTTCAGAAAAATAGTCAATATGTGAGTGCAAGAAATGAAATTTCAAGCTCATATTACAACCCAACTTTTGAATTTATTGAGCATGTTATTGACAATATTTTCATAACTTGGGGCTTTGTTGTTTCCTAAAAATTTGTCAATAACATCTTTAAATAAAGGTAATCCATGCTTGATTTTGAACTTTCATCATTGTCCTTTCGAACTGTTCATCAGCTGCCAATTTCCTATTCTGAGGCTCAACAAAAATCCCTTCTTTATGTTTCACTTCTGAAAGAGCTGGGAATTGCTCACATAGATACTTGAAACAGTTGCCATCTTTGTCCAAGGCCTTTACAAGCTGCTTCATCAAGCCCAGTTTTATATGAAGTGGAGCTAATAGGACTTTTTTTGTGTCAACCAAACTTTCACGTTAAATGTTTTTCGATCTTGGTATCAGTCTGACTCTGTATGGCCATTGCATTTTTATCCAGTTCTGATTTCATGCTCTGCTGCCCCATTCACACGAAAAACATGGAAACTTTGTATAACCAGATTGTTGACCCAACAACATACAAAGAACTTTTAAGCCTCCACAAAGTAGCCAACCATGTTCTTTGTATTTGATCTTATTAGGAAGAAATTAGTGATTTTTTGTATGTTTCAGTCAAGTGAACTGGATGAGCAATAGGAACAGATGCATATATGTTACCATTGTAAAGGAGAACACCTTTTAGACTTCTTTTGGAGGAATCAATGAACAATCACTACTCACTTGGTTCATAAACTACAGCTCCTAGCATTGGTATTAATTCAGCAATATTGTTGCAATAAACGATTGAATCTTCTTGCAAAAAGTATGGTATATTTACTCTTTCTCATGATTTCTGTACTAGTAAAATGATGTCCCTGGAGAAAGTAAGTTCTTAGCCTGAAATCTGGACCCCCAAATTCCTTAAGAATCCTTTGGAAGGCCCAAATCTCTCACCAAATCATTAAGTTCACCTTGTGTGAAAAGTTTTGTTTCACCCAAATCTCTCACCAAATCATTAAGTTCACCTTGTGTGAAAAGTTTTGTTTCACCAGACATTTCAGGTTGAAAACAATCCCTATCATTATTTCTATTGACATCAGGTTCAGAATCAGATGAAATTATATCAAGAGTCTTTGAGTAGGCACAGGTACATCAGGTGCATGAGCAACAGATCTTACAGCAGATTGAAGTTTTGGATAAGAAATTTCCTTTTTATTTCAAGTATTGTAGCCTTACACATTACATGAGCAAAAATAGCAGTCATCTCCATGGCTTCTAGGTTCACACCAGACCATTGGAATTCCAAAAGGCAAAATCTTTTTCTTACTTTGTCTAAACTCATTGACACAGATGGTGCAAACTTTGTGCAGAGCCTATGATTTGTCTTGGTCCCCAAGTTTTATTCCAAAATATGACTAATATGCTTTTTTGACAAATTCTGTAATGTTTTGCCTTTGTTTCTTTACAACAAATTTACCACAAATATAACAGTATATGTTTGGGTCATTTACACAACCTCTTGTTACCATGGTGATGAATAAATAAGAAAAGTGCATGCACAAACAAATATTATAATTTTCCTATACTGAAAATGTACTTCTGATAGGTACTTACCTCCTCTCACAAGATTAGCTAGAATGTCTCATTGAGAAGGAGGAGAGACTGGTGTGAGGGAACAAAAAAGTACCCTTGAAAGTGTCCAAAGGATACCCCTGAGAATGAGAGAAATAGATCCGAAGAGGGGAACCACACCACTTTTGAGCCAGGTATACTTATCGCCCATGTGTGCAATGTGTAAGAAATAAGAGCAGATCTGGACAGGTGTAGTGTGGCTAGAGTATGGAAGACTGTACTTGGGAAGTCAACTACATCGAAAACCTCCTTGGAGTACCGACCTCCACACAAAGGTAGGATGAGAATCATACCATCTTCACCTCAAATGCAAGAATCTGAGATTATGACCCATGCCAATTTCTGGGTATGACATGAGAATCATCATTGATCTATTGATCTGGGAATCAACTTCCAGTATCAAAAGGATGGCAATCGCATGGAATCAACTTGTGTGAGAACTTATGTTGATTGGTTCACTCTAATTCAAAACCTCTCAGCAGAGTACCGACATCCATGTGATGGTAGGATGAAGTCTCCCAATCCAAGGGAGGAACTACAATTTAAACGGCTCAACCATAGTGTTTATGTAAATAGTATCAGGAGGCCACGCCACCCAGGAAGGAGATGGCTCAACTCCTGTGTGTGACTAAATAGTATCAGGAGGCCACATCATCCAGTAAGGTGATGGCCCAACTCCTCTGAAGCCCACATCTTATCTGCACCAGCAGTGCACCACTCCCTACTCTCAACTGAATGGTTCTAGCCCTTTCATTGTGGAACTCATTCAGGAAGGTACATCCATGGTCAACTACCCCAGCAGCTTGGAACTGGAAAGTGGTAAGGCCTCCCATACTACACTCAAGGAAAGAAGGGTAACAATGCAGTGGAGAGTTCTGAGGAACTTCATTACCAGAGACAATGCAATGAGTGACCACAAAACTGTATTTTGAAAAGCAGACCATACCGAATTGTTCACTCGAGGCATGGCAGGGATGGGCAGCAATCCCCTTCTGCTTTACCCATGCAGTCCATGGGTAGTATGGTTTGGGATGGGCATTTTTATGAAGCAGAATATTGTGAGGCTATTCACCATCAAGTGATCTTGTGGAACACCTCATCTCGACGGTGAGCATGCAAAGCCAGAGAAAATAAAGCGTGAGTCAACATAGCTGTACAGTGCAGATTTAGAGTTAAAGAATATCTGGTCAGGCACCACTTACCATAGAGTGGGATCCATGTGATAAAAAGAGATAAAGGCCCATCAAAGAAAGAAAGTATGAATAAAACTTACCAGATAAAGTCACACCAAAGTTTGAAGAATGGCTACAGGTGGTAGAAGAAACCCTGATGAAGAGGAAAGCACGACATAATGAAGATAGTTGGAGATGAATGTACTGGGAGTGGTCCACATGCTGGATTGTAGAATCTCCTCCATTGGATCTGATGGGTAAAGATGGGATATAGAAGGAAGAGAAATAGGAGAAAAGGATGAACAACCCTCCTGAGCTGCTGAGGTCTTAGGGAGAAATGAATGATTGGGATAAAGGAGAAGATAGGTAGAGTGATAAAGGGTATGAGAAACATCAACAGGATAAATATCCAACCTTTGATATCCACAGGCTAAGAGAAGGAGAAAATATGTTTTAAGGGACAGATGAAACACGAGGAAAGTGGTTGAAATGGAGGTAAAGTAAGGGTATGGAGAGCCACATCTGCAAGGAGGTTGACTTATCCAGAAGGAATGCATGAGCATGGTGAGAACAGGGGAAAGAAAAACCTTATGGTATCAGAAAAAACAGAAGATATGGGAAAGGGTAACCCAATATCAAGAAAGTGAGGACACCAAAGACCCATGGTTGAAGAGCCAGGTGAGAAATTCTGCCACACGAGCCACAGAAGGCTTGTCAGCAGGAAACCCCCCTGTTAGCAGACCAACATTGGAACACTTTCCACTTGCATTGGTATACTTCCATGGAAGATGGCCATATGGAACGAGCTAACAAGGAAGCGACTTGACATGTGAAACCCTACCAGGGAAGTCCCAAAAATTCCTTGGTTATGTTCAGAATCATCATGCCTCCCCCTCATTTTCAAAATTCTGGATCTGCCACTGGTTGGAATATAGCTTGTGGCATGTGTAAAGAAAAAGTTTGCATGTAGAGGGCAGTACTGAACGAGAATAGCTAATCGTTTTAGAGGAGGTAAGTACCATATCACAAACTATCCAGAAATGACAACTCATGCAGCCTTTTAACCACTTGTATACTAGCATACTGGAATGATTGATAAGACTCTCACATCATGACTGGTCAAGAGAAATTTATAGCCAGTGGTTGTCAACATTTTAAGCATAACTAAATGTGACCCAATTTCAATAAAAATGATTACTTATGTAAAAGTACATACGAAATTTTGTGAAAAATCTGTTACACTAATCTTTATATAATTTTAAAGTTATTTAATTTATTACAGTCCTATTTATTTCTCTGTCTAGTCCATATTAATCAGACAATAATACACGGAAACAAAATAAGTTATGATTCTAGCATCATCAACCACTACATGTGTCTTTAATACTTATCCAGAGTTAGAAAACAAAAGAAATACCATAAAGATCCAATTTTGCCTTCCCTAAATCTTTTATGTATCTTAAGCTTTAAACTCTCACCTTAGGTTGGAAGGTAGTTACATTAGAAGGTGGAGCAAATGGAGTGGCACCACTTCTCAGCAGTGGAGAAAATCCTGGATAAGGACTAGAAAGTCCAAGCTAAAGAATACCAGAAACAGCATTTATAAACATTTTAAAATGAGTATTTCATATTATTCAGTTATGTGATGAGAATTATTTTAAGTTTATAACAAACAGCATATTCTCTAGTACCTAGATATCAAAACAGGTTTGCTGCCCTAAATATTAAGAAGTTCCGTTCAAAATAAGGTAAGGTTAAATGGGTTTTCTCTGACTAGTAATAGTCAAGATATATAATAATGTATTACAATTTAATTGTATATTTTATTCAGAACTGCTAAATAAATAAATATATACTTTTTTTATATGTTAATTATATCTTAGTGGTGATATTAATATCATCATATTTTACCCTTCCAAAGTAATATAGAATTATTTTCATTGAAATATATTCAGATTCTTTTTTCTAAATTTCCATCTAGGTGTACCATATGTAGTTAGCATCTTCCCAGTAAACTAGATTTATGAAGGTCATAAATATACACTAATATTCAACTTTCTGTAAAAGTTACATACTAAAATGGATATTCTGTGGAAGCTTGTACTAGTTTGGCCCTGGTCCTGTGTTTGCCTGGATGGGGTAAAGCTAATTTCAAGGGTGATATAGAGACTTATTCAAGTTAGTATGAGTTGGGGTTTATCTCGTTTTTATACACTTATTTAGAATAATTGTCTGACATAAAAGTGGGTTATCTCCATAAGTCTGTGTCTGGATCTTTTTCTTCATCTTGTTTTCATCTGGTATAGACATTTGACCTTGCTCTCAAGCCCAGTAGCCAGTTGGAAGTCAAAGAACAGGATATACATTATTATATATATAAAGTAAGTTAAGATTTGAACTGTGAATAAAAATACCATTTTATTTATTCAATTGTGTTTTGTTTTCCTTGCATAATGCTTCCAGAATTTGAATTTATCTGTCAGACATCAGTGTACCTGAATACCACATTAATTTGTTATTTCATATGCTAATATACAGAATGTGACACATAAAAAGTTGCAAAAAATATTAATCATGGAATACAAAAGGATAAAAAACTGCATGTAAATTAAGAGATGACACTCTTATTAAAAATCATCACATACTTGCATAATGCTGTAAAAATACTGTGATAGATAGTAAGTTCTAGTTTTTAATTTTTTTTTAATTTTTGTAACGTTTCACTATCCAGTGTGGATCAGTAAAACAATTATGTTTCAGAAGTTACTTTCAATGTTTTCTTGCAATATGAAAGTGCTACATCAGTTGAAAGATGACCGCTTTGTTTTTTTGTTTTAAGAAAGAATACATAAAAATACTCACTGAACTTCTTTCATAGAATGAAGAATCTATCTTTGGAAACTTATCATACTGAAAATAACAGAAACAAAATTTAGTCTGGTGGTTAGAGAGAAAAATATCTTTTTCTCACATAAAAATATTCCATTTTAACAAACAAACATAAAGAAATCCTTACAAAACTTCATAATGCATTTCAATAATAATCTTAAAATGTAGTTCAGTTTTAGCTATGTTAGACTTTTTTTTTAGGGTAAAAGTAACATACTTTTAATGTTTTGATTCCAAATAATTTATTCTAGAAAGAATAAAAAACATCATTTAAATTTTATGCATACAGGATATTCTAACTCCACTAACTTAATTGACATTTCTTTAATATCATTGTCAATTATTTTAATAGCTTTATACCAGTCAATTCTGAGCTATTAGTCAAACTGAAACTCAGTCTATTATGGTGCACTATATTCTATTATCTGTGCACACTTTGAATATTATTACAAGATTATATACAGTTTTCACATTTTGAAAGCATTTGTTTGTTTGTATCACAATTTCCATTCAAAGATACACAATGAGCTATTTGCACAAAGCCATACCTAATTTTGAACTGTCTGAATGAATAATAGGATTTGATCAGCACTCTTATAGTGCATCCATTTCCCCATAATGTGAAACACAGTAACATAACCACTAGACCACACATTTAAATAATATTTTGCAAAGTTTTACCTTGTTGAGGAGTGGGGCAGCAGGTTGAGGTATAAGTGGAGGTGGGAGAAAAGGACTGTGTTGATGCATGTGGTTGTGTAGATGTTGATGATGGTGAAACTCTGATCTCATGTATGGTGGAGGGGGTATGTTGATAGATCTGTCGTGAGAAGCAAGAAATCGGGTATCAAGCTCTCGGCGTAAGAAGTCTTGACCTGAGAAAGAAAATGTCCATTACATTATTAAAATACATAACAGCAAGCTGTTGATCTCTAAAAATAAAGCCTGGTTTTAGTTTCAGAAGTTTTTTAACATGGTTACTTCAACAATTCTCTATCTTTAGGAGATCTTACATTTTATTGCACTTCTTTCAGCATGACACTTATATGCACCCCTTTGTCTTAAAAGACAAAACATTAAATTGCTTCCATCCTTATGTAAGTATCTTATAACAAACTACAACTTTAATATAAAGCTTGTTTAAACTATTTGTTATACTTATGCTCAATTATCACCTTTTCAGCATTGTACAATCTTGATGATTTCAAAAAGTATAATTACTTTTCAAATATAAATTAGCATAACACTTATTAACTTTGCCTACATTTGATGAAATCTATAAATAACAATGAGAACAAGGTATTTTTAACTCTAGCTCCGTATTCACTCCATTAATTTCTTATACCTATGTAACAAAGCCCATACTTGGTCATTTATAAAAAAATCCGTAAAAATTCTTTTCGAAGAAACTTTAGT